CTTATAATCTACACACGTTCTAATTTTGTTCCCTTTTTTAGGGACTACAACTACATTGGCTAACCATTCGGGATATTTCACCTCCCGAATGGACCCTATTTTGAGAAGTTTATTTACCTCGTCCTTTATGAATGCATGCTTTACCTCGGACTGGGGTCTTCTTTTTTGCTTCACCGGTTTGAACCTAGGGTCCAGGCTTAGCCGATGCGTCGTTATATCCGGTAGGATCCCTGTTATATCTAAATGGGACCAAGCAAAATAATTTATGTTATCGATAAGAAATTGAATAAGCCTTTTCCCGAGTTCGGGGGTTAATCCCGTTCTCAGGTACACCTTTCGTTCGGGCAAATGCTCGATTAGTATGACTTGCTCCAATTCTTCAATCGTTGATTGGGTAGCGTCGGAATCATAGGGAATCACGAAGGATCGAGGGATCCTTTGATCATCATCTTCATCGATCTTCTGATTTTCTAGTTGGGTTAGAGCTTATGTCTGTGATTGCTAGTTGGCATCTCGTTCCCCTTTTGAGTCTGATCCCTTTATTGACGAAGGTGATGATATCGGATTCGCTTCCTCGACGGCAAACATTTCTCTTGCGGCCGGTTATTCTCCGTACACTGTTTTGACTCCCCTCGATGTTGGGAATTTAAGAACATGGTGTAGGGTCGAAGGTACAGCTCTCATGTTGTGGATCCATGGCCTTCCAAAAAGGGCGGTGTACCTCATGTCGCCTTCGATTACGTGGAACTTCATTTCCTGGATGGTCCCGGCCACGTTTATCGGCAAAATTATCTCGCCTTTGGTGGTTTCACATGCCATATTGAATTCCGTTTAGAACTAAGGTTGCGGGTACGACATGGTCCTGTAGATCGAGCTATTCTACAACCTTCGATCTAATGATGTTGGCCGAGCTACCTGGACCAATTAACACACGCTTAACTTTAGTTTTATTCATAAGTACGGATATTACCAGTGCATCATTATGAGGTTGTATGACTCCTTCTGCATCTTTATCATTGAAGGACAAAGTTCCTATGGGTGCGTAATCCAGAGTTCGAGGTCATTTTTCTCTCATAATTGATGTCTTAGTGCGTTTAAGCACCGGCCCTTGAGGGGTGTCGACGCCGCCGATGATCATGTGGATGACATGTTGTGGTTCTTCTTGTTCGTTTTGTTTGCCGAAATCCCTGTTTTTGAAATGGTTCTTCGCCCTGTCGCTTAAAAATTCTCAAAGGTACCCTTTATTAAATAATCGGGCTACCTCCTCTCTTAGTTTCCTGCAATCTTCCGTTCTGTGGCCATGGGTGCCATGATATTCGCATATTTGATTGGGATTCCTCTGGGCAGGATTGGTCTGCATGGGTCGAGGCCATTTAGTGTCTTTGATGCGTCCGATAGCCGACACGATGGCGGATGCATCAATCTCCGATACCTTTGGTGCTTCCTTAGATCCGGTAGGCCTGTCGAACCCACTTCTGTTCATCAGCCCCCTAGACCCTTGACCTCGATCAATTCTTTTGTTGCTTTGTCCGGGGTTACGTCTCGATTCATTGATTATGTGGTTTCCACTATACGGTCGGCATCGGTCCCTGATCGGACCTTGTTCTCGATTGATATCCCTTCGAGCAGCGGGTTCAGCCCACCAACTGATCATCTTCGACTCTAATTTTTGATTGGTACCGATTGTGCACGTCGGCTCAAGTGATAGCTGGGTACTCGATCAGGTTATGCTTCAACTGCCGTGAAGTCGTCGAACTTCGTTCATTCAAACCTTGAGTGAAAGCCTGAACAGCCCATAATTTATGTCGGGATTCTCTCCTCTAGTGGGATTGCAACGGCTCTTCTCTATGAGCTCGATATTGATTCGAGCTTTGTATCGACTCGAGCTCTCGATCTTGACTCGAGCTCGATTCTGACCCGGCTCCTTGTATTGATTCGGGGTCAGTGTTGGTCGGTTTCTGCCTCATAAGCTCGATAACTTCACTTTGCATCATCGCTCGAAGTTTGGTGACCTGATTTCGGACCTCAACCTGATTATGAAGATGCTTCTTCGATCCAATGCATTACCATTTCGACCAGTTCGTACGAAGGACTAACCGGTTTTTACCGTATACAAAAACTTTATCACAATTTAGCAAAGAAAAGCAGTATATAAGGAGGTGGATTAATTGTGTGAGATCACACCAAAAACCACTGAAATATTCAAATGGCAAAAGGTGATACTACAGCTATGGTTTTATTTTTTAGGCTTTTTTACACGTTTGATCCTTTTTTAACTATTATTTAAAAAAAAAATAGCATCATTTATTGTTTATTTCATAAAGAGCACTTTTGTTTTCATTACTATCATATTATAAAAATGAAGCTCAATATTTAATAAGTTAACTAACTCACTAATCACAGGAAGTATTTTTTTGTCCATCTCCATTCTCCCTTTCCAACATTCATCTTCTTCACTCCATTTTTTGAAAATCTGATGCATATGTGAATGCCACCTAAATTCAAAATGTATTGATTTATACGTCTTTTATACTTCGTATATCAAGTATCACTTTAATTCAAAATGTATTTATATGTATATAATTATTGTATATTTATTTGTGAAGTAAGATGTATTTTTAATGTATACTTCAAATATACTTTATATGTCAAGTGCCATTTTAATTCAGGATGTATTTTTTATGTATATTTTTTTGTATATTTATATGTCATCTTAATTAAATTTAAGATATATTTTTTTATGTATATTTCACATGTCTAAGTGTCATCTTAATTGAAGATGTATTTTTTATGTATATTTTATATGTGTTAATTCAATGTATATTTTTTATATATACGTTTTGTATATATTAACATATATTATTATCGAAGTAAGATCTTTATGTTAAGAAAGGAAGAAAGAAGGAAGAGAAAAATTTAAGAAAGATAATTAAAAAGCAAACGAATGGAACAAATTTAGAAAATATATTGGCTTCGGCAGAAAATAAAATTAAGAAGATAAAGAAAAAGAAGGAAAGCTAATAGATAAAGAGAGAAAAAAAAGGTATGATTTTTGTACAAAGAATTATTGACTTTCCATTCAAATTGCTTATGTTTAGGGATTAATAATTAATATTCCTATTTTAATGGAACTGTGTTCTACAAATATAAACATTTACCTGCCACAATTATAATATTGGATTTCATACTAAGAATTTGTTATATTTCTTTTAAACTGTGACAGTTATATAAAGTTCCCTATTTTTAATCCTTTTAATGGCATTCTTAGCCAGTGCTGAGCAAGTAGAGAGAGAGGGGTCTCTGCAGAAGCTACTTGGGCTTTGATTCCAGTGGGTTGGTTTCCATTTGGAAAGCACCCATTTAAACCCAAATGGATTCCCCTGAGCCCAGTTTACCCAATTCCACTTCCTGCTTGGTTTATTCCATTACATTCGACCTTGGAGCAGGGGTGTACATATATCGGATTGGTTCGGATTTTTCAATTATCAAACCAAATCAATGGTGTCGGATTTCTAAATTTCTAAACCAAACCAAACCAACAAAGTAGGATTTTTCGGGTTTTCGAATTTTTTTCCGGTAAAGTCTTCATAGCATAAAATACGTAACTTCTGCTCCAAATATTTCTTAAGTCCTAGTAAAATACAACCTTATAATGTGTTTTCCAAGAAACTAACATAATAATATGAGATAAGTCATATCATTATACTAAAATATTCAATAACAAAGATAAAATAATAAAATTACATAAAACAAATATTGCTAATTAATAAGCCATAATGAAAATTAGCATAATCTAAAAATACTATATAGGTCATGCTAAAATAAGTATAGCTAATAAGTACTAATATTAATTACATAACTAAGCACTAAAGAAAAAGATAAATTAAGTTATGCATTTTCATTATAAGCCAATGTAAAACTAAAATAATTATCCAACGCTATCGTCATTTCTAATATTAAATTGAATTTCTTTTGTTAGCATTAGTATTGATTTGAACTTTATTTGAATTACTACATTTATGGGCTATAAAGTTTATTTACCATTCAAGAATGTTAAGTCTAAACTTTAAATAATACGTTAAAAGATAAAACTGTGAAAAAGTTTAAGAAATATTTATAAATTACATTACAATAAATATTTATATGTATAAAATATTTTTAAAAATTATATAAATGTACTATCGGATTGGTTTGGTTTCGGTTTGATTTTTTTAGTTAAAACCAAACCAAACCAATTATGGTCGGATTTTATTTTCCAATACCAAACCATATCGGATTTTTTTCCGGTTTGAGTCGAATTATTGGTTTGGTGCGGTTTATCGATTTTCTCTGTACACCCCTACCTTGGAGAAGGAACCCATTTAAACCACATAATGGTGGAAGGAAGTCTGGCCCATGGTTTGGAAGCCCAGATTTGGGAGTCGAAGAGGAGCCCAAAGATCTATACGACACTGGCCTAAGCCCAGAACTTGAAGTTGACCCTGACCCGCGACGTACATTATTTACTTGCTACACTTCCCATAATAGTATGTTTAGTAAGATTAAAGTAGACGAATAAGATACTCTCTTTGTTAAATACTACAATCTGCACTCTGAGGTTTATAATGCTTTATTACAGTGGATGTCCTAATTTTTATTTGAGCATAATGGTCTTTTCCTACTTTGGTGCGTCTCTCCACAGATACTTTTTATGCATGGTTATAATATGAGGCATATAAAATACTATATATATTCCTTTGGGGGAAAAAAGATAAATTTATATAAATATACAAAGATATTATACTACAAAGTATTGTCAACTCACAAAGGAGAACAACACTTGTATGGATTTGATTATCATTTCCAAGAAAAACAAATTAAGATGGGCAAGGCTATAGATTTTTATTATTAGCGTCTTCCGTGTGACCAATCATGCTAGACCACATTGACACACTTTACTTATATGACCAAATCAAAATCAAACGCCAACCGCCAAAATGCATAAAATTTCAACACCCTAATTGAAAAGATAGAATAAAACTTCACTACATCAAGAACGCACAAATTTTCCCTCAAATACCAAGTGTTCTACAGGATATCTTTCTTTTTTTTTGTTTTGTTTTCTTCATCACGATTGAACCATAAGGAAAATAAGAGGTTGGGACAGAAAATATGTCTGATCAAACAACCAGAATGCATTAAACACAAGTTCATGAACTTAAACTTTGAAAGCCCAGAAAGAAGCACGGCATTAGCTATGGTCTAAGTTTTCAGTCTTAACAAAGAACTAAAATCATAATCCCCACAACCCTCCTCCCGAAATCTCCAATATTTCCTCAACCCAGGTAGTTTTAACAATAAGCTGCCTCTACAAGCACACTTACTTCATAGGCCAAATAAAATGCTGGCCGACCCCTGCAACATACAACAAAAGTGTAAACCCTGTAAAATACTTACTAGCAATTATGAATCGCTGTTTTTTATAATTGAAGTGACTATGATGAAATTGTTCCAATAATATTTCCCAGTTTTTAGGGAAATATTCTGGCACACACCAACATGCTTATTATGCATCAAATGACCATAGAAAGAAGGGGACTTTTCCCCCTAGTTTGTTCGGATAGGGAGACCAACCTTTATCTCAACTTGTGGTAGGAAGATACACCCTTATGGTGTCTTTCATAGTAATTTTCCTCCTACAAGTAGGACATTTACCCTGAGCAGCTATAGAAGCCTTGATGCAACCCTTGCAGAAGATATGACCACATTTCGTTGACATCTCCTCAACTAGTGGACCCATGCATACAGGACAGCTAAATGTGGGTTCTTTTGGCTTTGGTGGTACAACACTCTGTGCAGCGACTGTCTGGCATCAGCGGCAAAGAATAATACAAATCATGAATAAATGGAACTCTCTGGAGATGACACCAATAATTAGGTTAACAAAGCGATATGGGGAAAAAACTGATTCCAATAGAACCAAAAATTTGGAATAAGACATTTCTAATGATGGATTGAGATTGCAATCATGGACCAAGCTGCTATAAAATGAACAACTTTAAAAGGCCAACAGCGAACACTTGAAATATGCAACTAAGAAACAATGCAATTAGCTAACAAGGCCATAAAGTTATGCAAAATTTACATTGGCCTAGAGTTGAAGCTTCTAGACTATAACAAATGTTTTCCTTTCCTTTTCCAAGCTACAGACATCTAAGCTAATGACAAAAAGTAAGGCGCCACAAAGAAAGGTAAGCAATACAAGTCAAAAGAAACAACTAAGAGATCAAACCAAACATTCTTTGTCACAAAATAAAAATCAGAATTACGTTTTGAGCAATAGTCCCAATAGATCCTTTTGAAATTTTGAACTTTATGAATATAATTGAAAAAAGGAAACACTTAAATGAGAACACTCTTATTTTTATTTTTTCCCAATAATTGAGAAACAAGAACACTCATGTTGTAAACAGCATTCAATATAGCATAAAAGAACTTCTGTAGTTACCTTTAAGCTGCTATTTGCTTCTAGGTTTATGTAAATGTCACCAATTAATGTTGGATCATTAGTTAAGACCCTTCTGCGCTTGTTGCGACTGTTAGCCTTAGGCAAACGATCCTCTGCAATAATTATGAGCCTATAAGACCAATCTCAAGGGACGCAAATGAAATAACCAAAGTCAAAATCAAGCTCTCCAAGGAGAAAGAAGTGCTCGATATGGCATTAACCCAACCACCTCAATGCTGATTTCGAGAATCATATCACATGCCTCAAATTGTCCACATAATACCATGGTACTGACATAGTTACATCGCCTCCCCTTGTCCACGTAGGCAAAAAGATCACAAAGAGTACATCAGAATATCATGTAAATACTGGCAAAGATCCACTATGCGTCATCAAGATTCATGTTGGTGTTAGTTTTTAGGTCATTCATTTTCCTACTTAGCATTTAATGAAAACAAAAAAAAAATCAACTCAATTCTCCATTCTATCAGAATTTAGACTCTTGTAATGAACACAAATAGATCCTGCACTTAATATCTTCAAGGAAATAAGCAGTTCTACAGTGCCTGCATATCTATTAGGTGAAAATCAGCCCATCAGTGACTGCATGAGATGAAAAAGAGTTAAATGTAAAAAAAAAGAGGTCAAATCCTGATACACCAGTACAGGGGGCAAAGAGAGGTAATTCTGAATTATTTTTTATAGAATTTTTAATATCTAGAGCAAGTGAGATAATGTTCTAAGACAGAAAATGTGCACACACAATCTACAGCTGTAAGCGCTCCTAAAAGAAGAATAAATTACCAGAATCCTCATCAACCACAATAACCTGTCCACGAGTCCTTATGGAGTTGTTTTTTGCCTAGAGAAAAGCAGGAAAATTTCTAACACAATTAGCCACAAGGTGAAACACCAGTGGTGCTATCACAAGATAATGCACCACCTAAAAATTTACAAAGGGAAAGCATTAAAGTTGGATAGGCGTACTTCTGCAAATGCCCTTGGAGAAGATATTATCACATCATCATCAAGTGCCTCAACATCAATTAGGGCAGGTGTCAAAGACGCACCCCTTGGTGCAGGTGGCACATCCCCAGGAACAGCACGACTTGAAGTTCCTTCCTGATCCCTATTATCAGCTGGGGGTGTGGCATTTAGATCCACATCTAGTACCGCCTTCCTTCTTGAGTGGTTCCTTGTATACCTAATCGGATGTGCCCTTCTGTCTTGGGTGCTCATTCTATGAATACTTGTGCTTCCCAACGGCAGCTTCGAACTTATATCTCCTAAGAAGATGTTGAACAAAATTATGCAATTGGAACAGAAAGTACGTAAATAAACATCAACCAACGTAAAGTAAATAAACATCAACCAACGTAAAGGTGTAATTTCAGCAACCTGTCATCCCAAGCGCCAATGCATAAGGAAAATTAGAAACACTACGTCATGCATTTAAAGTATCAAAACGCACTTTAGTGTAAGCTCTTGATAAATTTGTAAAAATAAAAAACAAGCAAGATGGACATAACCAAGAAGTAACAGATGAATGCAATTAGTATTTAAGCAAACAGCAAAATTTTCTTCCTGATGTGCCATCCTTTATATCTTTACACGGAAAAAGAAAACAAAAGAGACAACCAAACTTCGCCATGTGATTGTGACACTAAGAAACTTCACAAGCCATGCTTGAGCACTCAACATTAATTACAACTAAATCTAACAGCTTTGCTTTAAGACTAAAAAAAAGTCATCCACCTTACTCATATCAGGTTCGACGTTCAAAAAGATTTAAGTTATATACAATGGCAATGTAAAGAATCTTTACACCATATGTGGATTTAACCTATATAACAGGTTACTTATCATTTAATTTTTATCATTTAATTTAAGTTACTAATCAATGGTTATTGTACATAATTACCTACTACTACCTCTTAAATGACCTGATTATGTAAATATTGTTTAAACAGACATACATCTCACTGAATTTGGTTTTGAAATCAATATTAACATAACATACAGCCTCAAACAGAAGCGGAACTGCAAGAGTTCCGAAGTGAAAATATCTTTCTAACCCTGTGGATCCAAACCAAAAGACAAAAACTTGAAAGTGATGATTTTTTTTCCAAACCGCTAACTTTAACATTAAGCATATAATAATATTTCAAACAAAAACTCCAAAAATTTGGTGCGATTATCCGAAAAATAGCAGACAACTGTCGTAACTACTAATCCAGTACAAGTTTCTACTTCAAATAAAACACTCGAGTAAAACGACCACAAAGCAAGGGAAAAATTGTTAATAGAGACGGAACGAAAAAAGACAACGACTTTAGCCAAATCAACGGATCAAAACACCGAACAACAGATGGATTAAGCGATAAACGAAGAGAGAGAAAAACATACGAAATCAACAAATTCGAAGAATTGAAAAGATCGGTAGAAAAAGCGAACCTAAATTTGGAAAAATGTCCGATAATTTTGACCACCAATGGCTCATGAAGTAGGCATAGAGAGAGGAAGCATGGAAGAAAAACGCTGTCTAGGGTTTTCAATTTTTTTTGCGAGAGAAAAGTGGAGAGTAAAAAATTTGATTGTGTTCTTTGATTATTTTCCTTTTGGGTCTGGGCTATGCGAATGCGATGGCACACCCACATACAAAAGGTGTGTGTGACACGCGTCTTATGGTTTTGGGACTTGTGGCATTTTAATCGTGTGAACTCGTAACAAATTTAACGTTTTTTGCTAGGCGTGAGGACTTGTGTGTTTGAATCTGAGTTGCTCAAGTCTTCTTTTCTTATTTTTTTCCAAGTCTTCATACTCTTTTCAATCGGCCAATCAGTAAATATATACTCCCAAGTGAAATTTATATTAATTAATTTAATAAGATAACAAGATATATTAATTTATTTATTTATTTAGATAACAAAAATTTGTATACAAACACATATTATGTATCACTTAATTTGATTTTGATATTAATATAAGCGGATAAATTTTTAACCTTTTCAAACCTTTCATTTTAATTTGCATGATTCTCAACAACATCCTGTGCCATTTTTCCTTCCCAACTGAGTATTTCGATGTCCTACTTTAATACTCTCTCCGTTCACTTTTATTTGGCACGTTTTGATTTTTTACACTAGGGGTGTTCGTCGGTCGGTACGGTATATTTAGAGATTTCGATTCGGTATTTTCGGTATTCGGTTTCTTAAAATGCAATACCAATATCGTACCTAATTAAATTCGGTATGGTCTGATTTTTCTCCTTTCGGTTTTATTCGGTTCGGTAACTTCGGTTTATTCGGTTTGAATACTAACTTGTGCATAGAGTCATAAAACGTAATATTCTAAATTAAAGTACTCAAAAGTGCAAAACTAAAAATATATGTTCACAAAAGTTTTGTCCAAAACTAGCAAATATCAACCCAGAAAGAGAAAACTGTACATAAAAGAATAAATTTGATCATTAGGAATGTCTTGTTACTTGATTAGAGTTAAAGGATGAACTTAGAGAATAACGAAAAATAAAATTTTAGATTTTTATATTTATGTTATAATTAATAATATGTGTATTATGTAATATAATATATATTTCGGTACAGTATCAGTATTTCGGTATTTTATTATTTTATTTTAAAATACCAAATACCATACCTAATACCAATATTTTTTAAACCTTAACATACCGAATACCAAAATATCGAATACCAAATACCAAAATTTTCGATTTTGGTACGGTAATTCGGTATTTCATTATTTCATTTTAAAATATCAAATACCTTACCTAATACCAATATTTTTTAAAACTTAACATACCGAATACCAAAATATCGAATACCAAATACCAAAATTTTTGGTTTTGGTACGGTAATTCGGTATTTACCAAATTATGCACAGCCTTATTTCACACTCCTTAAGAAATAATAAATGAAGTGTATAACTTAGCATGATACTCATATTAATTGATGCATATTTTGTTGGATTTGAGAAAATGATTTGAAATGAGTAATAAATATTGTGGGTATAACAGGAAAAAAAATTGTCATTCTCTTAATATGCGTAAAGTGACAAGTAAAAATAAAAATCTATTTTTAGTATACCTGTCAAGTAAAAGTAAACGAATGTACCACTATACTCCTACTACTTATGATAGTTTAGAAAAGTGTAAGAAATTTGGTGCTTTAACTCAATTAATTCCTTAAGTTCGAAAAATGGTCTATCTTAGTTCTTCTTGTACAACGGAACATTAATCAAAAATTACATGCATTTAAGGCACAATCTGAATGTAGAGTTTAAGATAGCAATTATTATATTAATCTTGTCGAAGAATATATTTAAAATATTGGTTTGATTGAAAACATATCGTATCAACGTTAAAAATTTGAAAGGGGAATGAACTGAAATAAGCATACCGTATCAATTCAATTAATAGCATGTCGTGTCAATATTATTAATTGAATCGTGTGAATATATTATAAAATAACAACAACAACAAAAAGTAGTATAAATTGGGAAAGAATTAAGTTGACTTCAAACCTTAAACGTCCTCACTCTTACAAAGTTACCACTGAAGCCCTTTGTACCCAAAAGAGAAAAATGAGTGACTTGAAAGAAAGAAAGAAAAAATGAATCGATTTGCTTACTCCATCCATACTTCTCATCTTATTTATACGCTATGGTGTTTGGTTGAAATTAGAGGAGTCAAAATGGAATTGTTGGGTTAAAATTGAATCGGTCAAAACTAATTAAGTAAAGATTCAGGATCCCCGGTCAATACGAGTTAGGTTATATTTGTGTTGAATATATATAAGTACATTAACTTTTCAAACATTTTATTACTATTATATTGGGTGAAAAAATATTTCCTTATCAATTGAATACAGTGGCGGAGCCACCTTATAGGAAGGGACGTCAAATAACATCCCTTCGCGAGAAAAATATACTGTGTAGCTAGGTAAAAAAATAAATTATATGTATATATAATATGTATTGACTCCTCTTAATTTCCTGGTATATTTATTTTTACATATTTTGACACCTCTTAACGAAAATTATGGCTCCGCCACTGATTGAATATGAAGTCATTACCTAACTTTCCAAACAATTTATTATTATTATGATTGGTGAAAAGATATTTCCTTATCAGTTGAATCTCAAGTCGTTACCTAACTTTTCAAACAATTTATTACTATTACAATTTGTGAAAAAAAGTATTTCCTTATCAATTTACTTAATTCTTTATCCTATTTTTGGCTATAGACTTCAGTAATTTATGGAGTCCATGTTAGACAATCTGTATTACTATAATAAATAATGAAACAGTAAATTTTCTGAAACAGAAGAAGGAACAGAAAATTAGCAGCAACAGAATGTCAAAATAATGAAGCTGAATCTGAAATATAATTTCGGAATAAAATCGAGCCCACTGAATGCACAGTGTGTTCTTAAAGAAATTATTCCCCTCAAGTACGCGAGGTGCTAGAATATTATCCTCTCACGATAGAACGATATAACTCGCCAGAGTGTTGGTACCAAAAACGCTAGTGAATAGCGAACCTGTAACGACCCGACCGGTCGTTTTGAGCTCTAGCGCATCGTTCGGCAATTTGAGGCCTTGAGTAACTTCACTTCAGGTATTATGACTTGTATGTGTGGTCGGAATTGAATTTCGGGAAGTTCGGGAATGATTTGGAAAGAAAATTTTAATTTCGGAAGCTTTAAGTTGGAAGAATTGGCTAAGATTTGACTTTTGAGTAAACGACCTCGGAATCAGAATTTGAAGGTTCCAATAGGTTCGTATGATGATTTCGGACTTGGATGTATATTCGGGTTGAGTATCGGATCACCCGGGAGTATTTTGGCGCTTATCATGGAAAGTTGGCATTTTGAAAGTTTAAGAATTTTTTAAGTTTGGCTTGAGGTGGACTTTGGTGTCGTCGATGTCACATTGGGATTTTGAGACTTGGAATAGGTTTGTATTGTGATTTATGACCTGTGCGCAAAGTTTGGCGTAATTCCAGAATGTTTTGTTATGAATCGGACGCGTTCGTCGAAGTTTGAAGGTTGGAAAGTTGAAAGAAAGGTTTTGGCCGTCGATTTGTAATTTTGACGTTGTTTGACGTGATTCGAGGTTTTGACTAAGTCTGTATCATGTGGTGGGATGTGTTGGTATGTTTGGACAGGGTCACGGGGGCCTCGGGTGCGAATCGGGGTGGAAATGGATCGAGTTTGGACTTGGAAGAACTGCTGAAGCTTAAGGCTTCTGGTGCGATCGCACCTGCGAGGTTATGGCCGCAGGTGCGAGACCGCAGAAGCAGCCCAGGAGTCGCAGAAGTGGTAGGGAGTGAGCTGGATGGGATTCGCAGGTGCGAGGAATATGCCGCACCTGCGGGCTCGCAGATGCAGAGGAGCGCAGAAACGGAAGTGGCCTGGGCTGGTCGATCGCAGGTGCGGGTGTTGTAGTGCATCTGCGGAGCCGCAGGTGCAGTCATGGGCGCACAAGTGCGGAGTGTGCTCGAGCTGGGGAGTCCGCAAATGCAAAGGTTTTCCGCAGAAGCGGATGCGCATCTACGGTTGTTTGGCCGCAAAAGCAGAAAGGGCTGGCCTTAGGGAAAGCTGCATCTGCGAGGAAGTTTCCGCAGAAGCGGCTATTTGACCGCAAATGCAAAAGGTCGTCTGGGCAGAGGTGTTCTTTTAAAAGCGGGATTTAGCCCATTTTTACTTGGTTGGAGCGATTTTGAAAAGCTTCAAGAGGAGATTTTCTTCAAACAACACAAGGTAAGTGATTCCCACCTATTACAAGTTAAATACATGATTTATATATGGATTTAAACATGGAAATTAGTAGAAATTTGGGATTTTGGTAAAAATTCTAGAATTTGGTACTTTTGAATTTTGACCACAAAATTGGACATAGAATTGAGAATAAATTATATATTTGAGTTCCTCGTGTTATGGATAAGGTTTATCTTTAAAAAATTTCGGAATCCGGGCACGTGAGCCCAAGGGTTGACTTATCAACTTTTCGAGCGGAGTTAGAAATTATTTAAATTGATTAATTATGGGTATTAGAGTATATTTTGATTGTTTTGTACATTGTTTGACTAGTTTTGGATCGACGGGCATCGGTTTGAGGTGTTAGAGAGGCTCTGGAGCTAGTTATGGAACTTCGGAGCGAGGTAAGTCTCATGTCTAACTCTGTGAGGGGGAAACTACCCTAGGTGATGTATTTGTTATGTGCTACTTGTTGTGGGCGCTACGTACGCACAAGGTGACGAGAGTCCGTACGTGGCTAGATTCATGTTATGTCCGGGTAGACTTAGGTTCTCGCCATGCTATAACTGTACTATTTGAGTTATCTCTTGCCTATTAAATTCTTTTATTTTACATTGCGACTTGAGATTAGACTCGTGTAGAATGATAGACTTGCTATTGTAGAGATTAGACGTACTTCATGATTAGCCATGGAATAATTGTACTCCTCTTACGAATTTTTCCCGCGTTATGCGCTCTCATCGAAAGGTTTTTCTTCAAAATTCATGACTCACACGTCTATTCGTGAGTGGGGTCAAGGATCCATCAAAGCTTCTTATTCTAATGGGATCGGGTTGTTCGCCTCGGCAGTATAGATACATCTATGGTT